AAAATGAATTCGTACAAATATTCTTTCTATTTTGGATGGTCTAATTTGACTGTGTTATATGTTTTCTAAGAAAATATTACCGTCTGTTAATTCTCTTGATTGTTATTTAATTCTCGCTATAACTATAAACTTTTCGGTAGATATGTAACATTCAATAATTTATTTTATATGTTTCCGCTAGCTCTTTTAGTTTGTACCAGTGTAACAAAATCGTTTATTAAAATGTTTCGATTCCACAGACAAAAAACTTTAATGCTGTGCCGTCACAATAGAAATGAACATTAACATTATCTGTGCGCGCACCGTTTCTAATCGCCCGGATTAATATGTTATCTGTGGCGATGCGTTTTGTCCGCGACTGTACTGGCCGAACATCGCCTTTGTTAAGTTTTTCTTTTATTTTGTGGACTACCACAGATTGTATTCGGTCAGTCATTATTTGAATATCATCTTTCTGGAGGTCAAATGATTCTGTATATAGAACACGTAATAAACGAACTTTTAAAGAAAATTGATCTCTAAGAAATTGCTTTTTATAAAATAAAAAACTACAAGCTGCCAACATCAAGGAAGCAACATTGCCATGGTTTGTCATCATGTCATGACATTTTGACATTTGCAATTGACAATTTGACTAATGTAAACAATACTTTTTTTTCATAAAATAGTTAACAAGTTCAGTACAATAGTCTATAAGTATATTTTATGTCTTATTTACCCAATAAACGTTTTATTAAGATAATATTCTAGTTAATTCAAAGAAAGAATTGCGTTATATTTACTGAGTAGTTCTATCAAATTTCTACATGACTAATTTGGAATATCAGTACTGATATAATTGCCCTTTGATCAAGATTTGCTAGTCAATAAAAAATAGATCGTTGACAGGCGACAAAAGTTGTGCGCGCTTCTCAGAAAGTGAGGAGCGTTGCCAATCGGCGGCGGTTCGCGGTAACGACTGTAGACAGCCAGTGCGATATGTTAAATGCAGTTTTAGAGAGCATAAGAGCGGGCGCACACCATTAACTAAAGTATCACACTACTGTTGGGCGATTGTTATTTGTCACAAGTAAAAATCGAGTAGTGTGCGCACTTCCATTAAAACTTAAAGCAATCAAAGCGAAACTAAAGAGTTGTAGAATAGTTTAGTCAAAGGTGTGCTCGCGTTCTTACGTGCTTGAAAATATCATATCAGTGCAACAACGAAATGTCTAGACTTTCCAATTGTTTAATGTATCTTGTGTATTTCATAGGACCCTATTCTTGTAAACTAAATTACTTAGAGCGCTAACAACTGATTCAATATCTACTTGATAACTCAAACCTCGGTAACTTAAAAACCTCTATAACTTATAAACTTATAAAAAATAATATGTTCCCTTCCTATCACAACCTCTACAACATAGACCCTTGGTAACTTAAAACCTCTATAACTTAAAACATTTTGTGTTTCCCTTGCACTTTAACTTATCGAGGTTCTACTGTATTTGGAAATTTTAGCTCATAACACAATGTTGCAAACAGCTTTTACTTTACCATATTGCCACGAAATAAATATAAGGGAACTCCTATTTCATAAAATAAATGAGCATATTTTTCTCAGTTTAACTTCCTTATATTAAAATCAGCGACCCCAAAGTCGCAAACAAAATTAACTCCCCGAAGCTTACCGTCGGCAAACAGAAACACCTCGTTACAACTATCCCTCATCTCGCAGGTGAGGGGTGCATGAGGGAGGGGAGCTGACGGCAAATGAGGGGGAGGATAATCCCTGAAAAATGTCAACAATATTTCATTGCGACGTCCCTAACCCTGAGACGGAGGGACGTAAACAGGATTAAAACAAGTTGAAAATCATTTATAATCAGGGTAATAACATGCAGCAAAACTTTCGATGACCAAATAAAATTGCATACTTGCGTTTTGTAACTCGAAATTCGCAGAACTACAATAGTTGCAAATGTATAAAAAGGGTAATGCTTTAATTAGATATGTAAATTGTTACTTCAAGGACGGCAATTGTAACATTGACTTATTGGCTATAGATCCAGACCAGATCCAGGCCAAGTCTCAATACTTGGTAGGATATGGTTAGGCGAACGCCCAGGGCGCTGGATAGAAGGGTACGCTACGTATTACATAGTCTCACGTAACACTTTTAACCCCTGAATATTAAAAAAGGAAGTTGCCGATTAGCACAGCCAGCTAGGCATTTTATTATTGATTACCTAATCCCAGCTCTTAGTCTTTGTGCGGTACTTCTTTGGATGTAGTCAACAAAGCTATGGTTCTCTATAATTATTTGGCAACACTGAAATTGTTCCGGTGTCGAATGCTTGACATTTGTACTTCTTAGTATCCGTCTATTGTCTATGTTCTAGGAAGTATTATGAACTTTACAAATGCTTAATGAGAGAAATATAAAGTACTATCTTTCGCACGCGACTCCGTCCGCGTGGAATTAAAAAAAAAATAAAAACCAAAAAAGCAGGCTATGTATTCTTCCATACAACGTTTAGGCTACAAATTCAAACTAACATCCATCCATCCATCGATGCATCTAAACTTTCGCATTTTTATAATATTAGTAAGAATTAAGATGTATCGATCGATATACTTTTATAAACATAGTGCATTAAATTTTTACGAATTTAATACATATTTGTATATTAAAACCCTGTTTATATTTATACTAACGATAGATTAGAATTTCTAGCCTGCTTAACTACGTACATGTTGACTGATCTCTCAGGTCAAAGTTTACATTTAAGTCGTGTGTAACAAACATCAGCATAGTATAGTCAGTAAAATACCTGATGCCGTAAAGTTGCGGGAATCTTGAACGAATTGAAATAAAATAAAATACGTCACAGAGCGCCACGACACGCTTGCGACGACGCCGTAAATCTAGCTTCACTAGTGATGTCAAATTTGGTAACATATCGATATATCAGTTGATATATCGAAGTCTAAACTAAACAATAAACAAATTTTAGTTTTGGATTCAAAAAAATAAAATACAATGAACAATACGGAATGTATTGTTACTGTTCAAATTGGAAAATGTTGGCCAGTAACCAATAATAATTGAACCACAAGACATCCACATATGTACTGAAGAAATGAAACATTACTTGGCTATAAATTTCGGGTTTTCCGCTTGTCATTATTTTCATAACTTTATCAGAATTAATTTCCTCTTCCTCTATAAGTTGTAAAAATTATTTCCTAGCCTTTATCGATAAGTGTTAACACATCACTAAAGTTATCTCGTACATCGACATTAATGTAAAGATGCAGAATGTTATATTCCAGATCTTAGCTCGTTTGCATTTTATTTGTTTGCTCGCGATCTCCAGGGGCGCGGGGCAGTGGGGGAGGAGACGAGGTACAATCACGAACTACACTGACTACTGTACATGGTCTGGGGGTGTTGCCGAAATTACAAATTAATGTTACACCGCACACGTTGTTGTTTTGTACTTTGAAATGTACATAGTATTATTACTCTATTTACGGTAAACGTATTCTTTACGTATACTTCATTTTAACGACAAAGATAGCCAGACTTAATAATCCCTTCCATATATTTTAATTGCGGCAATTATTACGAGACGCCTCCGATGTGAATTGTAATAAATATTAAATTTAATAAATTTAACCCCTTCGTATTTCTAAATTACAACAATAATAAAACAAGGGCTTTAGTTACTTTTACTCGGGATCGTTAAATGTAATAAACTCTTTAATCCACCTGAGTTAAAACACTGCAAATTTTTCAAGTTCTATCAAAATTTTAAATGAAGCGAGAGTTGTGACAGGTGTGACTGACTTATTCATTTGCTAAGCTTTAAATCCCATATGTAAGTCGCATAGCTAATTTTAAAAATACCCAAAAAGCTTAATTTTGGGCCAAGTTCCGTAGCTAGCTAAGCCACTAGCTGCATAATCTGCTCAGTTAACAAAGTTACCGCGGCGGGCGGGCAATTTGGCAGCACACGAATTGGGCCGCGCATCGCTGCCAAGTGGCGCCTTATCTCCGACGAGCGGCAATCCTGATTTATATTCATGGACAATATGACACTATTGTTCCGAATGTGGGACACGATGTACTCGCATTGTCGAGATAAACCCTTTGCGAAGATTGCTTTGAATAATTTTGTGCTCTAGCAAATCTAAGATTTGTGGGATAAATGCGCTTACCGACTTCAAGATTGCACCGATGCACATCGTATGTACGTAATTATTCATTACACACACAATTGATTTTTTTACCTATATTTTATAGCCTTAGACAGGTTAATATCAACAGTGTTTAATTTTTCTTAACGCTTACAAGATTTTGTTGCTACTTATAACAAACATCAAAACTGCGTACTCAATTACTATTATAATCACAAAATAATTTTAAATACAGGAAAAAAATCTTAAATCTACGAGAATGTATTCTATTTATCTCGGTTCGCCAAAAGATGGCATTGGTTTTTACGTAAGCGTAAAGCGAGGACTTCGAAACTAGTAACGACATCTAGAAAATTACAAGTGCACTGTTATGGCCGATCAGTTTTCAGTTCTTTCTTTCCAGCTATGTTGTTTTCATCAGGTTTTGTAAGTATTCAATTTATAAAAATGCTTCGTAGTATTTTCGTGTTTGATTTTTTCACATAGTATCTTTACCGAATAAATATATTTTTACAGATGATACATTTTATTTTGTTATAATTGTTTTTACTTATCATGAAAAGTCTCTTTTTTCAGTTATTATTCATTACGTAGGGCGTGTAAAGTCAAAGGCTTTCATTTTTCTTTTATATAGGCAATTGTATTTTGTATCATCGTTTAGATCTAAAAAAATACTTTACTTTTGGTAAATAAAAAGTATTAAAGTAAATATTAATTAAACAATTTTAACTTTTATTAAGTCAAGTTATAATGTAAAATATAATTTTATGTTATCCAAAACATAGTTGAAATGTGGCAATATTCATTTTGACTTCCGGCTGTCAGCTGATAGACTCTTCGTAATTGCTTTCCAACCAAAACTAATTTCGATTTTCGCACAGAGAAAACGTCAGGCACCATTCAACATGGGCTTGAAATACGCGATCAAAAGCTAGTTGTAGCTGAAATATTGCTCTAATTGTAGTTTTATTGTTATTATAGTTTCGTTTTACATGTATATTGTGTAACTCATAAATTAGTCAAAAATGGATACATTAATCTTAGGATATCTCAATTATGGCGTTTGTTGATCATTAAAAAATTACGTTCGGTTGATCATTTTCTTTCTACTTAATGTCTGCTTTTCGTTTGTGATCGTCTGTTTTGTTCGCGTTTTCGTGTTTACTCGAAATGGTTAAGGAGAAGCCTAATTCTATTCGTATTTACGACGACGAAGGATTCCGACGACGCGCCGCTTGTATATGTGTACGATCGGACGCCGAGACCGAGGTTAGTGTTGTTGGGCAATGTTAAATGTTTGTGAAGTAAAGTGTGAGTAACGCGACGTGGTCTGTGGGTGTAGGTGCTGCTGGTGACGTCGTCTCGGCGGCCTGACAACTGGATCGTGCCGGGCGGCGGCGTGGAGCCCGAGGAGGAGCCCTCTGTGACGGCCATGCGCGAGGTGCTGGAGGAGGCTGGCGTCATCGGCAAGCTGGGCCGCTGCCTGGGAGTCTTTGAGGTGAGATTTTCAGTATATTATTTTGACAGGTGTTTTGTGTCAAAATGTCAGTCATGTTTGAACACTATTGTAGTTAACCATGCTGTTATTTTTTTTTGTTAAAGTTAATCTTAAGTGAAAACTAAGTTTTATTTCCTTATTAATCTAAATTATTAGTAATTAAAAGATTACATGTGTAAATGAAACTCGTTTTTAGGTTCAAATAACAAAGTTTACTGGGTCAACAAAAATTATAAAAGTTGCTGTGGTAGAAATTTCTTTAACCTGAAATAAGAATATATTTCTGTAAATGACTTTAAGCATAGAAAATCGGCAACTTTTATATATTTCTGGTAATTCATCACTTTGCAACTGACTTAAAAATTTAGCATAATTTACCAAGGATTTCCAAATAGTGCTATTGGCTATTACCTTAATTATAAAATTAAATTAAGAACTCAGCAAAGCAATATTCAGTAAACTCTTAAAACCTGGAACATGAACTAAATGAGACAAGTAACTTTAGTCATTAGGATATATTGGCAGATTTATTGGTAATGTCTATCAAGGAAGAGAAGCAGCCCTTGCCAACATTTATGGAGTTCCCTCAGACATGTACATCCATCGCCTAATAAAATATACTATATTAGCCTATATTTCTATCAAATAACACCATTATTACAGTTCCCTTTGTACTGTGTCGGGTTTACAAATGTTTGTGTTTTTAAACAAAACAGTCTTGTACTAATGCCAATACATCACAACCACATTCATTGTAATTTAGACTTTGTGTGATTTGGGTGTTAATTCTACAGTTGTTTGAAAATATTTCATTTAACCTTCATTCAAGGTCACAGAGATCAATCATCGGAACTTGGCTGTTGGATATGTTTGAACTGATCAGAATAGTTGTAAAATATTTATATAATATTGATACTTTTGTTACTAAGGGCTATTTCTCATCTTGCCATTTTCCCTGTTGAGGGTTGGTACAGTTCTACCATTACAACTCTAACAACCTCACATTCCCTAAGGGTTCATTTAGACACATAGGGGCGGAAAGCGCAGTAGACTTAGAAGATTAAAACATGGTTAAAATACTTTGACAAGTGTGAAAATGCTATTTAAAGCAAAATTGAACCTTGTTAGAATCATATAAAGCCCTTTTTTATTTATGAAAAAAAAATCTATATATCTAGTCTGTGTGAACAGACTCTTATGCATATCCTCTTACAAACTTCACAGTTTTCATTGTTTTTTGCGAACAATTTGTTCAACTGAATGACTAAGTAACATAGGACATTATTTATAAGTGGTAGTATAGCTTTATGTATATACAAGCGTGGACCACAGAGCCAAACCACATGAAACATGATATGCTTGTATCTATTTATAAAATTGACCAACATGCAATTTTCTATTTATCTATGTATATGTCCTGTTAATATAAAATATAGAAGTGGATTTGATGATGGAGGAGATGCATAGGAAGAGGAAATGTCCTCTTTATGTGCGTCTCCTCCTCCATCGGATAAGGGTAGGAGAAGCATCTGCAATTGCAGATGTCTATGGGCGTCGGTCGCTTCCGCCATTTTGGCGGATTCAGGTGGCCGCTAGCTCGTTTGCCATCTTATGTAGGCACTATCTAGGCACTGATACTTGGATGCAATTGAAAATAAATGAAAACACTGATTTGAAACAGTGAAATTATATCTTCACTAATTAAGATAGAAAATCTAATAGTAAATAGAAGCACTAGAATAGTCAAATATGTCTTGAAATCCAAAGAATTTGATTCTAAACTTCGCAAAAATTACTTTTTCAAATTTGTGTTTTAACCATTCAAGTTGAATAAGGGTCTATTTAGACAGAGAATCGCAAGTAATTTTTTATTAAAAGAAATAAAATTTAATTTTACTTTGCAAGTTTTTTCTTATCATGAGCAAGTGAAAAAAGGTGTTTAAAATATAATAAAATCTCCTTTCAAACCCATAATGCTCAATTTCATTAACAAGTCTGCTCTGGCAGTCTGTGATCATAGCCTTATTTGTAACTATTGATTTCCAGAACAGAGAGCATAAACACCGCACCGAGGTGTATGTGATGACAGTGACCCAAGAACTAGCGGAGTGGGAGGACTCTCGGCAGATGGGCAGGAAGCGGCAGTGGTTCTCCATCGACGACGCGCTCGCCCAACTCGCGCTGCACAAGCCCATCCAGCGCCACTACCTGCAGCAATTGAAGCGCTCCAAGCAGAAGCCTGAAGACACCCGCAGCTAACTTGAAGCGCTTCAAGCGCTGACAGCTAACTATAGCTCGTAGGTAACGGCTTGCGACGCCTCGGTAACGGCGTGATGCGATTTGCAGTACCGTACATCCCGCTCCGACTCTTATGTTCTCTATTATTCAAATCATTTTAAATGTTCACATAATGGATAGCTCTTGTCTAATTTCACTTACCGCATCATTTAAAGTAATAAATACTTCTATAAAAGCAAATACGACATAACGACATAAAAATACTAGGATTTTTCTTATCTACTTGCCTTTCGACTATCATAAATGCTAGGTCAATGAAGATACTTTTTTTTTAAGAGTTTTAAACAAAGTGCCTAAACACGTAAATACAAGAAATTGAACATTTCTATAGTCCTAAGTTACCGTAGGGACTGGGTAAATGTTATTGAATGGAATGTAAGTTATTTATTATATTATTATTTTTTTTAAACTTGACGATGCTGTTTTGTGTTAGAAAATGCCGGAAATTGGATGTTTTTGTATAATTTGTATGATGTAGGCTTTTTTAATATTTAATCTAGAATTCATTATAGCATTTCTTTATAACTTGACGGAAAACTGCAAAATGTTTTGATAACAGATATGTTATTCTGAAGTGATGTTGAAAATTTCAAATATAGCAATAAAATATGAAAGTTTGACCGAAACTTTAGTAATTGATGGTTTTTGTGCCTAAGGATTTTATTGAAGTAGATTTGATATAACTTGGGCGCTGTTTGCTGCTTGCAAGAATGGCTATTAGCTTGCTAAGTTACGATTAAAGGCTGATTGTAGAGTGTAAATGTATTAGAGAGATTTGTATGTACTAATTTATCGCTGTAACAGTTCAGCATTCAACCAAGTGAAGCAATACATAAGTTACATTGGTTTACATAAGTCTGACGTGAGCTTGGTATACGGACAGTTCGAAATTTTAAGAAATTATTGAAGATTTAAATACGTGTAGACAGGCCATTACGAAATTAACATTGAATGAGTAGTACAATTTGTGTTAGTTAACCTGTATGTCTCTTGTTTGTATCAGATCGTAGATAATTATGTAATTGTTTTTAAACATTTCCCATACAAATGAAAATAGTAAATTTAGAATTCCTTTATTTTATTTGACAGAAACCTTTCAAGTACTTTTTTACGTAATGGCCTTTCTATACAGTTGTATGTCTATGGTCAATGATAGACTATGAATGATTTTGGATATTTTAGACCATTGAAAAAATGTTTTATGCTTGTATAAATAAAATGATTGTGGTATGTCGGGGCTGCGACGGTACTGCGACGGTACTGCAAATTGTCCGCGCGGCGTCAGGCTTCACAAGATGGCGGACCGCTAGTACACAACTATTGTAACATCTCCTTTTACTATTTTTACGTATATTTTTATACTACGATGGAATAAATGTTAATTTTATTTTGTTAGCATTAAAACAAAAGACATACAATCTCTATTTTTTATTTTAAATTGATTTTTTTCTGTTTTATAAGATTCCTCGATGACATTTAAAGAATAAATTTTATATTGCTCTTCTGTAGAGTTTTGTTTCACAATTAATACACCTTTATCATAGTGTAATAATGCCAAGGAAAGTATAACCGAAAATTGAATTTCAATAGTGAATTATTTCATTAGAAATAACCTCTTTTTTACCTTCCTCTATTTTTTGTTGCCTAAGATGTCAGCAATTACAGCATGTTTTTGAATAGTTTTTTTTAATAAAAAGCCCTACACTTACGTCACGCTTAAGGCTATATATTTTCACGCCATTAAACTTAGGGGGTAAATATTATGGATAAAAACCCTAATGTGGGAAAGATACCATAAGTTGCTGCCAACATCAAGGAAGCAAGGATGTCATGTTATGTCATGTCATTTTGACATTTGCAATTGATAATTTGACATATGTAAACTATAAAATAAAATTTTCTTAATTTTATGAGGATGAAGTCGTACGGGAACAGCTAGTGGTTACTTATTAAAAAATATGGACTTATGGGAAGAGTGACATTAAAATAAAACAACCTCCAGTATATTTATCATACTTATATTCTTATAATACTAGCCAAGTAAACCCACACACTGATCACGTTATTAGGGTAAGCGTACATCTGCACGGCGACCGCGAATTCTACATTAGGGTCGTCGTTGACATGAAAAGCTGTCGCCTTTACGTTCGCTAACACTGACTTCGTATTGATGTAGTGCATATTCAAAGGGAAACCGAACATCTGAAATTAATTACCATATAGTTGATATAAAATATAATCTATACTAATATTATAAAGAGGAAAAATTTGGATTTTTGTAGATATTGAAATAACTTTAAAACTACTGGACCGATTTCAAAAATTCTTGCATCATTAAAAAGCTATGTTATCACTGATTAACGTAAGCTTTATCTTTAATATTTTATTATTTGAAAGCGGGCGAAGTCGCAAGCAACAACTAGTAGTTGATATTCAAAAACATTAATTAAGTTATATAGAGGAACGAAAAAGGACAGACGATTTCTAAATTATTTGGTTTAAAAACTTGCCTTGTAAGTAGCCGTTAGTTGTTTCAATCTGTGTCCCGGCTCCGGTCTGCGGTCCGAAGTGTCGAAGGACCAATACTCCCACAGCGGCAACGTCTCCCGTAACAACGCGCAGCAGTATCTGGTTAACTCAATTTTTATTATATAATTGCGTGAAAGCGGTAATTATGTAACGTCTCGATTTAGAGGCCTTTATCTCAAAATCTACTAATATTAAAAAATAATAAAGCGCATACACACACTTCTTAGTCATGTAAAATGTCAATCCAACGGCGGGTCCAGGGGGGATTTATGGGGGTCATGACCCCCCCCTTGGCTTATTGGTCAAGTGAGCTTGACAAAATACATTTACATATTTTGGCAAGATCTTGACTATGTGACCCTCCCTTGGCGCCAAAGCTAGATCTGCGCTTGTGTTAATCAAAGTATATTCTTAAATAATTATTTTTAATAAAAAAAACCCTAAACTTTGTATACGTTTTAGGCTATACATTTTAACGCTATTAAATTTAGGGAGTAAATAATTTGAAAAAACCGTCATGTGGGCAAGGGACAAAAACTACAAGCTGAAGTTAAAAGCAAGGTTGCCATGGTAACGGTAATTGTTATCTAATTTCAAAGGCCCTCGATGTCATTTCAGCATTTGAATTTTTGCATCAGAAATTATAAATAAAGTTTTGATAATCTTTGCGGATGAAGCCGCGTGGGAACAGCTGTAACTTATAATTATGAAAAGAAAAAATTGATACCTGTTCCAAACGGTTTTAGCACGAGGTCGCCATTTCTGCACCTTGCTCATTATCTTAGCCTCCAGCGAGTCCTCTAGCCCGGACACGTACGCCGGCGCGCGGTACAGCTCCGTCACTGACACTGGCTCACTGGCACACTGGCGCGGGGTGGCAAATACCTACGAAATGAGGAATTTGAAAACAAACCAATAGTGCGTGTATATTAACTCACGATCGCGGGCGCGTTTACATATTAGTCGTTATGAAATAACTTGACTTTGAATTTCCTCGTAATTTGAAATTTTGTAATCGCCAGTTAAGTACAAACTAGCACTTAGGTGGTTAAAATACCCTTTCTAGAATATGTAACTTAATATAATTCACTATCTTACCTGTCGCCAATCAGATGATTTGGAAAAATCAAATGAAACACTCTGGCAGTCTTGCGAAGACTGAATGTTGACCCATATCTATAATCAAAATAATACAAAATGAAAAAATATTCGACAAATTACACATTTTGATTGATTAAAAAAAGCGATGTAATTAAAAAAAACTTACATTCTGTTCATCATACACAAAGAACACTGTCTTGAGAGGACAAGCGATATCTCTCAATTCAAATTGTTCGCCGCTAACCGCATCAAATACATGCCATACGAAATCGTCGCTCTTTTTAAAGAATCCTCTGTTATAAACTTGGTCTTCCTGTGTTATATATTTACTTGTGATGAGGTCGTATTTGAGCAGCAGGTATGTGGTGAAGCCGCGGGGCAACCCCACACCTGTTACTATCCAGCACTTAATGCCCAGATGAAGGAAGTAACCAGCAAGGAGTATCGTGTGATCTGTCGGAGAACCATTGAGGACTCGAAGCAATTCCTTAAAAATTAACAGTAAAATTAAAAGTGGAAGTATTTTCACGTTTCATCAGATGAGTGTATCTGCCAGAGGACTAATTTAGTCTATTTTATAATAAAACCATGGAAAGGGATAGTAGATAGATAGAAAAGGAAAATATCCTCTTTCTATGTTACCCCTCCTCCGTCGATTAAAGGTAGGCAACGCAACTGTGTTTTCTGATGTCTATCAGCAGCGGTCAGTTCGATATTTCAGCGAATTCAGGCTTCTTGCTCGTTTGTCACCTTATAATATAAAATATAATCTTTATTTCACACCATCTGTTTTGCTAATGCGATGGAACTTTATCAAATTAAATCACATGTTGTTGAAGCAACATTAAAGTTATTGTCCGTTTACTTTCAACGAAAGATTTCAAAATACGTAAAATACACATATATAGTATGTAGAACTTACCGAACCAATCAACGTGACTACTTGAGGTCCTGACACTTCGTACGTCGGTATCAACGCTACGTATCTGATGGAGAAATTCAATGCTTTCGACAACTGACTATCTTCACTTCTCCAGCTCGTATCAAAACCACTGTAAACAGTGTCTTTTTCTTCATTAGTCTTTCCGCTACTTTTTGTAGAACTTTTCGAATGACCTGAGCTTTTAGATAGCGCAGATTCCGGTCTTTTCGCATTCTTCGGAAACCATTCAGAATCCGGTATCGGTATAGGTTGTAGAAATTCCGTGACACATTTATTTTTACCTGAACTATCTACATACGTTAGAGAGATGCTTCTAGAAGGGAAATCGTTTAAATAACTGGTAAGGAAATCATTTAGCTGCTTGATTGTCCGATCATCATTGGAGACATTTGGTATCGGTTGTGTGTACGTTTGTACATTGCCGAGATGCGACAAACTTGTAGTAACATGTAGTGTGAGGAATGAAATATTCTTCTTTAACATTCTCTTGACTTGTGGTATTAAAGTCGTCGCCTCCTTCGTCGATGAATTCTCGTAGCCGATTAGCAATGGCGGTGATGTTAATTTAAATGTGCCACGGAGCTTGAAACACAGAAATAGATATTATGAAAACATATATTACAACTAATACTCATCGTAGCTTACAACTTACCGTGCCTACGTTTAATACCGTGGTAAGTGGCAACACTAGCTTGGCGAGCCAGCGGCCGCAGCGCTTCTGTCCGCCGCCAGCCGCCTGCAGCGACCTCGAGCTCACTTTGCACTCGTCGTACACATTCACGTGGATCGACGACAACGGACTGAATCTGGCCAAAACTCAGAAAGTATAGTCAAAGAATCCAAGTCTTTTAGGTAAGACTAAGACCGAATATCTTAGAGAACATTGACCATATGAGGTATAATTTGTCACCAGTGTTGCTATAACGAAGTTTTCGTTCAGAAGTCTCGATTATACGTGTGCAAACTTACTTTGTCCGAATCTTCAATGTCTGGTTCCAGGAGGGGTAGCAGCCAATGCCTGGCGCGCTCTGCGCTGACGTACCGTGGTAACTCAAACTCACGTACGGTCGTAACGGACTTAATTTGAATCCTAAAAGAATTTTAAGCTATAGACTTTTCATTACAAGTATTCCTTACATTGTTTTTCATTAGAATTGCAATCATAAAATAGTTTATATTACCTGCAATCGTTTCTGTATCTTCGTTATCTTCTGTCATATCAGCAGTTCTGTCTGGTAGATTGAAAGCTCTCAATACTGTCACTTGGATTTCGTGTTCCGTCGATTCACATTCCTTCAATAACTGATTTCTCGTTACATGAGAGAATATGGACAATGAGATCAAATTAGTTTGATTCGATAAGATACCCCTGTGAAATAATGCTAATTACAATAAGTAACTGGTCAAAAAGGTCAAAGATTGACCTTGCGATTTATTGTAATTTAGACGTAACTACCTTAAACTTAGATCTTTAAAATCCTTGACTACATCTCGATGTGTTTTCTGCAGTAGAAATTCATTAACGGTTCTTTGTAAATTATCATTTAACCCTTGCATGTACTTTAGACCTAAATATCTTTGTAAATCTATAATATCTATGTCTTCATTCTCATCAAAGTTATGTATATCTATCAGTCGGTTGGTTTTCTGTAAAGCGCTAGTTTGTTCTGTCGAGATTTGACTAGGGAATAGAGGTACCAATTTCTTTTCAACGTTAATAAATCCACCTTTATTTCTTAAATGTAATAATTCATGTCTTATATCTTCATCATTATTTTCAATAGAAAACCCGTACTCGTTCTTTATTTTAGTTTTACATACCTTTGTTAAAGTATTTACAACTTTTTCATCATTTTCTATATTGCGATCGAATAAATTATTTATGATTTGTATTAAGTTATTAATATCTGGTTTATCAGTGCCATTTAAATATCGTTTAATTTGTTTTTCCATTTTAATTGATTTTAAGACAGTTTCGTGACTATTTGCGTGAAAATTTTCATTCCAACCTATTTTAATGTTAACATCGCAAGCTGTGTTCAATTTACCTTTAAATAAATTCCCACTCTTCAATCTCACATTGTTTTCTGTTGCTATTTCTTTTATACCAAAACCACTGCCTACGTATTTATTACTTGGATGTATTACGTCACTAGTAAAGTTAAAATTAAACGGTTTAACATCCGCTTGTGTTATATTCTTTTTAATTTTTCCAATGTTTAAATCTATACATGAAACTTGAATATCATTCTCATACAAAACGATAGTAAGTATTTTATTATTTGGTAATATTTGAATTGAAAATGTTTCCGATATTTCCATACTGTTTATAAAATCTTTTACCGTTAACAGTTCTGATTGGCATACAAAAACATCATCTACGTATACCTTTAAGTAATAATCATTCGATCCCAATACATGTATAGGTTTTAAAAGATCTTTCATATGTTTCTTACTTTTTAATATTATTTCTATCTTATCTTTTTGAAAAATTTTATCTACTAATGTTTCTGTGTCGTTTTTAATTTTAACTTCGTCTATTACAAGCTTCGGTTTACTTATAGCTTTCTTTTCAAATCCATTTGTAAGTTTCGATTTGTTTTCTTTATACTCCAAATAAGCGTTTGCGTATTCGAATTCAATTTTATCAAGCATATCCAAATACTCAATCTCGAATACACTATTCCATTCTGTTTTATAATCACCATCAGTTATACCAATTTTATTAATTTCTAAGTAGTAATTTACTTGTATCTTATTACTTTTCTCCCTCACCATTTCAATATCAGAGTATAAAGAAAGTATTTTATGTACAGTTTCTTTTTCTTTCTTTAACATTTCAATGTACGCATCTTTGTAATAAAATAATAATCCAGTATATTTTAGAAAAGTAGCATCAAATCTTACGCTATCCTTGTTACTCCCACTAATATTTAACAACTGTTGTTTTAAATTGTTCTTAGTTTCTCTGCTTATTTTAATATTTCTACGTAACTCTTTTAGTGTATTTTGAATACTCGAATATTCATTGTAAATATCAATCATCTTTACTATTAGCAATGTTTCTAGTGAAAATTTATAATGATGACTGAATTTCATATTTAGTAATTCAAAATCGAGAAACTTCTGACCTTGTATTCGTCCATCATCAGCGGTGTAGCCAGCCATCAGAACACTAAACATGACTGGTTCGGAGTAATGGATGCCGACTGGCAACTCCTTGACGCTTGTGTTTTCAAGAACTTTTGGGAATGTTGAAATTAGTTTGACGGGATCTTTAAGTTGTCGCCTGAAACATAGACAATGAGATTTGGAGAACGGGAGAAAACTTTTTATTAGACCGCATGGAATTTTAACAAAATATCTATTTATTTAATTATTTATTTATATATTACACTACATCATCATTTAAGTTTACTTTTCAATGCTTGATTAAGTTATCAAAGTTAAAAATAGGCTTCAGCAACTACAGATGATGCTCTAATACTACCAACTCACGGGGCATACGATAATTTGGTTTTGAAATCCAACTGTATTATGTTATTGTTTAAATAAAATTACGCATGATGTGTATGTTTTTACAACATATATATCTTGTAAATATATTACCCTCGTTCAATATCAGAATAGCGCCAGTTAAACTTCTTCATGGTGGAAGTTTTATGATAAATATTTTCAACATTGTTGTGCTTTACTGTTTCAATAACGTTCTCGCGTATTAATGATGTCTCAGAAATTAATTCTGTATTAATTACATCCATAATACTGGAGGACCTTTTATTCTTCTTTTTCTTTTTCGGTTTTACTTTTTCTTTGGGTTTTACATTATGTTGAGTGAAGAACTCATAGGCATTGATATGGTTTGACGACGGAGTTGTAGAAAATGTTGTTTCTTCTACTAAAGCATCTTGATCAATTTCGTCATACTGCTCCGAGTCACTTTCACCATAAGTTTTAACGCAATAGTGGTTTAATTCAACATTTTTATTCATTATTAATTAAATAACCATGACACTAGTTGACTATGCAAAATTAAAAATGATACTGTCGTCATAGCAACAAAAGTAAGCAAACAAGCAACAACAAACCAAAACAGAAAAAAACAAAGTTCCACTGAATCCTTTTATATTGTAATAGGTAGTTTGAACATAAATTATGAAAAGAAGACAAGAGAACACTGTTAAACAACTTACAACCCTGTGGAAGAAATGTCAACGTCAGACTTCAATCAAAACAAAGTAAAAGTTGCATGTTAGTTATATTTGCGCAATAAACCATTAATAAAGCTAATAATAATGGTTAAATTTTCATTAGAAGACAGCGACCCTTATTATTTAACATTATCGGAACATCCAAAAAGATTTGACGCTGATAGTCCTGTTACGAACGTATTTTTCGATGATACCAATGGACAAGTAAGAAAGTATTATTTTTTTACTGTTTGATTTTTGGAGGAAGGTATGTAATTATTTTTAAATTCTAGGTATTTACGGTCCGATCCGGTGGTGTTACGGGGGTCACCGTCAATAGTATGGACGAATCAAAATGCACTTCATTTCGAATGGAGGATAAAGGTCCTATTATTTCGATAAAATTCTCATTAGACCAGAAAGTGTTGGCAATACAACGTAATAACGAAGGTCAGAGTGCGACGGTGGAGTTTGTAAACTTCAAAGACTTAAGTCCAACAAATGTGGAGTACTCTCATACATGCAAGTGGAAAAATTCTAAAATACTAGGATTTGTTTGGCCTAAAGCAAATGAGATTGCGTTTATAACTGACCATGGTATAGAGCTATTACAAGTTCTACCTGAAAAGAAGCAACTTAAAACTCTAAAGAGTGTTACATTTAGGTAATTTTCACTTTTAATTATAAGAATTCTATAACAAACATGATATATTTTGTCCAACTTGGCAGGAATGTACTCTCAATCTTTCTTCCATTTATAGGAATAGAGTGGAAAGATTTTGGTTTCTGTGTGAAATCTTTAAACTACTGTACCAATTTAAAAAAAGATTATCATTAAAAAAACTAAACTATCACTGTTTCTAGTCTGTGTAAAGTTAGTAGTCTATGTATTAGCCAAATTTCAGTGTTATTTATAATATTAGGCTTAAATACTGATAGTTGTTTAATAACTTCCAGTGGTGCTTGGTTCTCATGGTGTGCACAGAGTAACATAGTGGTGCTGGCGGGCAACAATGGAGTTCTGCTACAGCCATTCTACTTCAACAATTCTACAATCATTAAGTTACAGAAGTTGGAATGTTAGTTTTATCTGATTAATAGTTACTTTACATTGAATATAATTAATCTAGTCATTATAGTACTGCTGCTGCTTACTGCTGCTGCTGTACTATACTGCTTTAACATCTTCGCACGACTGGGCTGGCTTGGTGTAATACCACAACCACACAAGACAGGTGTAAAGTGGAAGCAATTCCGCGTTTTGTCTGATGAGTGTGGTGCTGGAGGCCTAATTCTAGTCCCTTTTCCTTTCCACCCTTTCCTTAAGAGGAGAGGAAAGGATGGGAAGGAAAAGTGGATTTGACGGTGGAGGAGACGCATAGGAAGGGGAAATATTCTCTTTATGTGCGACTCCTCCTCGGTCAATTAATGGTAGGCAATGCATCTGCAATTGTGGATATTTATGGGCAGCGGTCGCATTCCATTTCGGTGGATTCAGGTGGCTGCTTGCTCGTTTGCCAATTTATGTTATAAAAAAAAATAGTAATATTTTTATGTGTTGTTGAATTGACGCGTACTATACGTGCAGTGGAATCCTCTCGGCCGGTGGTGGAGCGCGACGTGTGCATGTTGGTGGTGGGCGAGGTGACGTGGTGCGCCGTCTTCCGACACGCGCTCACCGCCATCGCCGCGCCCGGACCCACAGAGGTAGCTTCTATGTAGCCGTTCATATATTCTAACATATTATGTTTGTGTTGTGTACGAAATATATGTGCATAAGCTCAAGATGTCTAATCTCGATAAAACGTCTTAAAGCTAGGTAGCTTTGCAGGTGCACTACAATTTTAAGTTGACAAGACCAGACATTGGTTCTCAATTAGTGGTCCGCAATTTTTTTAATTCAGCAATTGGTACGCGAGATAGCTGGCTCCACAAAAACAATACATTGACGCCTAATATCTGTAGATATAATACAAAAATTATATAATATGGAAAGTTTTTATGAGATTTGTGCAATGGAAAGTGACAATAAAATGATTTTTGATGATTTTCAGTTTGCCATAGTAGTGTGTATTAACAAGAATAAAATAAAAGTTTTTGACTATGAAAATAACCCTTCAAAAGAACCCTTGCTCTATAACAATAAATTTTAAATAAGCGTTTCTTTTATTATCATTTGGATCATGTTTCTGTGTAATAAAAATATTAGAATGAATGTAAATGTGTACATTCCAGATATGGCTGATGCCGCTGTCGGGCGCGGGGCAGGGCACGCACGTGCTGAAGACGGGGCTGGTGGGCAGGTTCGCGCTCAGTGTGGTCGACGACCTCATCGCTGTTCACCATCAGGTATGATTTCATCCAGACGAAGTCATGAAAAATCTTACCAATATTATAAATGCAAAAGTTTAGATATATGGATGTTTGTTAGAGTTTGTAGCATAAACGGCTGAACGGATCTCGATGAAATTTGACATAGATATAGAGGATAGACGTTATATCGAGTGACGATGA